TGGTCAGAATTGGCTGACTGAAATTCATTTCACAGAGGCTACTAAATGACTGCATGTTGAGAATTAAATACTGGACTCAATCCAGTTCCCAGTGACAAGTGCTGGCATATTAATTTAGCTGAAACATATAAGCCCAAAAAGTTAAAGGTGGCGACATGACTCTGTCACTATCCAACATTAAACAGTGTTAGACAAGGTTTGGAGTTGGATATACAGACACCTCGATTTGTTTCATGGCAAACACACAAAGGGCTGGTCTACACTACAAAGCTGGATTTGCTTAACTACGTTGTTCAGGGCTGTGAAAATTTCATGCCCTGTGCAATGTAATTAAGCCGACCTAAGTCCCAGTGTTGACATCGTTAGGTTGGTGGAAGAACTTTTCCTTGACCTGCCTATAGCCTCTCGAAGAGATGGATTTACTGTAGTGACAGAAGAACCCCTTCCATCAGTGTAGTGTCTATGCTACTGTAGTGTTCCTACCCTAGACATACTCTAAGAATATGATGCCAAAATTTAGGAATTTATCAACTAAAATACGGGTGGTGGGGGGAAAAGCTAAAACAAGTTATTGAAATTAAATGATTACATGTGACAAACGTAATCAGCATTTATTAAAAGACCATTTTAAAGAACGGACATCAGCTAGAGTCCCTTTTTTTGTTGGACAACCCTTCTAAGTGTGGAGGAAAGGCTTAGTTTTGTTGCTCAGTTTAGAGATGTAAAGGATGGTTACTTTTCCTGCTTTTATAAACAGACGCAAGGGGAGGAAGAGACAGGATAGTAAAGGTGGTTCAGCAATGAGGACCAGGTGTTCCCGCTGGTAGGTCAGGGTCTGGACTTCACATGGATGCAGTGACCTTCGGGATCCCTGGATGAAGGACAGTGTCCTTGGAGTGGAGTGGGACAGAGGCCTGATGGCCTTCCCCCTCCTGCCGGAATTCCACCAATTGATTTGCCAGTCCCTACCCCAAAAATCTTTTATTAAGGACCCCGAAAGAGGGGTGATGAGTGGAGTAGTCCATCCTCCCATTTTGTTCACCCATCAGGCCTAACTTCTGACGGGCCAAGCGTAGTCTATTGATTTCCAGTCCCACACCATTCTTGTTTACCAGGCACGATCTTAACACAGTCCTTGGGTTATATCAGTAGCCCTTTCTGTTTGGATTAATTTAGTCTCTCTCTTTTGCACCTTTTCTCATCAACATTTGTAATCGGTTATTGCGACCTTCTATGAACTTTCACTCACTTTTTACAATTGAGCTTACAATTAGGATACATTTGTGGGCCCAGTTATCCCAACGTTGCCTACACCACACAACATGCAAACCAACCTGTACAGCTGGGACTAATGGGCAAATTTACCAGAGAGGCCAAGGGATGAATAGGCATGAAGACGGAACTTCCCATTCACCCTTAGAAGCCAGTGGAACTATTCCCATGCACAAGTTTTTTT